CAGGCCTCGAAAGTGGCGACAGTTTCACAGATCGCAGCCCGTACGTCGCTCAGTTGGACAGCCTTCCGGACAATTGGAAAGAAATTGAGGTGGAAGCTGTCCGGCGACTCCTCCCAGGTCCTGCCGAGTAGTGCCAGCCTGAGGATTTGCAGTGCCTTCGCCATCTGGGGTTCCCGAAGGAGCTTCCCGACTTACGTGCAGTGGCGACGGCTGCGCAGTGCAGGGTGGCGCACCTGGAGGCGCCCAACCAGGGCAGCCTCCGCGCGACGGCGCGAGCTGGAGAACTGCGGCGATGGCGCGCCGACTGCGACGACATCATGCGTGCGTTTCGCTGGTCCGACTGACCGCTCCTTTGTGGCCCAGTTGGCGCCCGCCCTCGCGCGCGCCGAGAACGCCGGCGCCACTCCAGCAGCAATCGAACGCCGCCTATCAAACGGATCACCGAGACCTTTCCCGAGGCTGGTCGACACGGCAGTCCGCAGAGGTTTCCAGCGGGAGGTGCGTCAGATGGCGCGGCCAGACCCAGTGGTCCACATGGGCGCCCGCATGCAATACCGCATGTCCCGCTGGGAGTTGCCAGGCAACCCCCGGACGCACGGTGAGAGAGCCGAGGCCGTGCTCCAGGTGCTGTCCACGCTGGTCCCACCGCGCGTTAATTTGGGCCGCTGTCCTTCGAACTTTGTGGAACGGGTGGATCACAGCCAGGCGCTGGCCCACTGGGCCCATGGCCGGCGCGACTTGCATTTTCGGGTGCGTTGGATCCCATCGAGCACTACTGTGCGTGCCGGGAGGTTGCGGGCTTCGCGCGACGGCGACTTGGGCTGCGCGCGGTCGCACCCCCAGCGGCCAGGGCAGACTTCCTCATCGTGGACCAGCCGCCCTGCCAGCGTGCGCGCGCCGATTTGACGCTGCGCGCTCTGCGGGTGGCTGCTGTGTACAAGGTGCACAACTGGTGGCGCCACTCCACCCGGCGTACGCCAGCCATGGGACGCGAGGCTTTGCATCAAGCCGTGCGGGACCTGGTGTCAGGGCATCCTCGCGCCATTCGGGTGCTGGACAGGGCGGGCCTCCAGGCCAACTAGAGCTGCAGTGGGCTCCGCAGCCCCGCGCCGACCTCATCCTGTTCACCTTCTCCTTCCTCTGCTACGTCCTGCTCGCCTTCACCTTCCTCGGCTACGCCCCCCCCGCGCAGCAGCACGACGACGAGCAGTGCGACGGCCACCGGCGACTACGCCGGCACGAGCGCCAGCACCGACGACAGCTTCAGCGCCAGCACCAAGCCGGCACCCACGCCGGCACTGACGCCAGCACCGACGCCAGCATGCGCATACGCCGGCACCACCGCCAGCGTCTGCACCAGCGCCAGCGCCGACGCCGGCACTGACGTCAGCACGAACGCCGGCGCATGCGATGGCACCAACGCCCGCGCCTACACCAGCATCGATGGCAGCACCGACGCCAGCACCAAGGTTGGCGCCTCCACCGGCGCCGGCGCCAGCATCGACGCCAGCAGCAACGTCGGCGACTACGCCGGCACCAACGCCAGCGCCTACACTAGCCCCGACGCCAGCACCGACGCCAGCACCAACGCCAGCGCCTGCGGCGGCACCAACGCCGGCGCCTACACAAGCACCGACGCCAGCACCGACGCCAGCAACAACGCTGGCGCCTACGCCGGCGCCAACGCTGGCACCGATGCCAGCATCAGCGCCAGCACCGATGCCAGCACCAAGCCGGCGCCTACGCCAGCACCGACGCCAGCATCGACGGACGCCATCACCAAGTAGGCGCCTACGCCGGCACCAACGCCAGCACCTACGCCAGCATCAGCGCCAGCACCGACGCCAGCACCAGGCCAAGCGATATGCCACTTCGGCTCCGACATCCAAGAGTGGCACGAGCAGTGCGACGGCCACCAGCGCCTACGCCAGCACCAATGCCAGCACACCAGCACCAAGCCAGCGCCTACGCCAGCACCAACGCCAGCACCGACGCCAGCATCAACGCTTGCGCATACGTCGGCACCACCGCCAACGCCTAGCCCAGCGTCGACGCCAGCACTGACGCCAGCACGGACACCGGCGCATGCGCTGGCCCCAACGCCAGCGCCTAGACCAGCACCGATATTAGCACCGACGGCATCACCGAAGTGGGCGCCTTCACCAGCACCGGCGCCAGCAGCGACGCCAGCATCAACGCCGGCGACTGCGCCGGTACCAACGCCAGCGACTACACCAGCGCCGACGCCAGCACCGAAGCCAGCACCAAGGCCAGCGCCTACGTTGGCACCAACACCGGTGCCTACCCAAGCACTGACGTCATCACCGACGCCAGCACCAAGCCGGCGCTTACGCCGGCACCAACGCCCTCCCGGGGACGGCATGACGGATTACAGCATTCTTGTTTCTGGCAACCGCCGGCACACAGCACGACAAATACCAGCAATACGATCTTGAGCTACACAATGGGCTGCTGCAGTACGACGGCGTGCAGTACGACTGCGTGCAGCACGACAGACTCCAGCAGTCCGACGCTGCACCACGGCGGAGTGCCGCACCCGCGACCATGACAGCAGAGTACACGTAGCACGACAGATACCACCGTCTCGACTCCGAGCGCATGCCGATGAACAGCACGGCGGAGCAGCACATCTCTGTACGGCACAACGGGCTGCAGCAGTACGACATTGAACAGCAAGACAGCCCACCAACAGCACCAAGCCCCAGCAGTGCTGCGCACCCCCAGGACTGCGTGGGCCCTCAATCGTTTGGTCGGGCTTCGGTTTCTGATTGTTTGCTGTTTTTTTGCTGGTTCTGGTTGCGCTGCTTGGATGTGTCTTGGGGCTTCGTTGGGGCTTCTGTAAATTGGTGTGTCTTCTTTCACCTGCAGGCTCTGACCAGGATCCGCCCTCAGCAACGAAGTTGGCTGCAAGGTGCACTACGAGTTCTGGCCGCACGACGTGGGGCGGCATGGCGGGCACCTGCAGCGTGAGGCCGGGACCGGCGCGTGTGGGCAGTTGCCGCTTTCACTCCCAGCGGACGGGAATTGAGGCCCCCCCTCTCGTCTCTTTCTCTTCCTCGCTCCCCCCCGAGTGCAGCAGCTAGATTTTCGGAGGCCTTTGTGAGAGCGTGCTGCTCCGTGGAATCGTGGTGCCATTCGGTTGGCGCCCTGAAATTAGCAGGCTGTCTGCGGCCTTTCTATCTGGGGACGCTCGGCGATAGCGCGCATTTGCCCCCTCCTCCTCTCCTGTTGTCCTTCGCCCCTGCTCGTTCTTCCTCCCAGTTGGTGCGTTGGCAAAGCGTGCATGCAGGCCGAGGCCGGTTTCCTCGCCCGGCACTGTCCGACCCTGTAGGCCGCCGCCCAAGTTTTCTTGTGTCCGCCTTAGGCTTGCGCAGTGCTTTCGGCGGGGTTTGGCTCTCGCATGGCCGCCTCATTTCATTATGTTTCATCTTGATTCTGGCGCGTGCTTCGCACCCAGATTTAGTGCAAAATCATTTGCTCCACTTAGCTATTCCAGCAACTTCATAACTAGATATGCTTGCCTTGCCATGGGCGCCATGGCTTATGTACCGTATTTGACCTTAGCGTGCGATGGGCATACGACTCGCGGAGCCTCCTGGCTGTGAGCGTGTCTTCGCCTTTCTTCTCCATGCTGTTTCATCCAGCCGGCTCTCTCTTCATCTGCCTTCCTGCTCGTCCTCTCCGTTTCCGTCCAGGTCTCACCGATACGAAATGGGATATGTTCGTATCGCTCCGCGTTCGCATGTTGGCATTGGGTATCTGTCTCATGCTCCGGGCTTTTCGGCTTTTTTGAATGAGACGTCTCGATTTTCCTCTTCGTGCTACTGCTCGTGCTACTGCTCGCGCACCGAATCCGTGACACATGCATTTGCCTTGATATGTGAGCCCAAGTTGTTTGTGTTGGGCCTGGCAGGCGGTGTGGAGAGTACATGTGGTGCGTCGCGGTCGTCCCCTTCCTCGTCCTCCTCCTTCTTTTCCCAAAATAGCCCGCTGGAAAAATACATACATACACACATGCATACATGTGTGTCTGCATGCATGCAGACATGCATGCATGCATACATACATGTATGCATCCATCCATACATACACACATAAATGCATGAATGCATGCATGCATACACACCTACACATGCACTTACTCAAATGTATACCATATAGCTCGATGCATGCATGTATGTATGCATGTATGCATGCATGTATGTATGTATGCATGTATGTATTTATGTATGTCTGTCTGCCTGCCTGCCTGTCCGTCTGTCCGTCTGTCTGCCTGTACGTGCGTGCGTACGTAGGTAGGTAGGTATGTATGTATGTATGTGTATATGTGTGCATTTGATGTGCGGGGTGGGGCATCGAAGTGGAACCGAGAGCCCCCCCACCAGGAAATCGGTGTCGGTTTCGGGTTTGCGTCGCGCTTGCGCGGGCGAGGCGAAGCTGTGTGGACGGGCGAGAGGAATGAACCATCCTCTGGCTAGGGCGCGGCGAGGACAGAAGTCCGCCCCTCCCCCCCAAGCCGCCTGGCGCGTAGGTGCCAGGGATGTCCCGCCGTGGTGTCCCGTGGTGTCCCGCGGTGTCTCGATTGGTGTCTCGATTGGTGTCCCGGTGGAGTGTCGATGGTGTTCCGCGGTGTCCCGCCGCGGTGTCCCGATGGTGTCCCGTGGTGTCCCCTCGTGTCCCGCGGTGTCCCACCGTGGTGTTCAGATGGTGTCCCGTGGCGGTCGCAGGCAATGGTCTGGCAGAGTCTTTGCCCTCTCGCCCGCCCCTTTCTCTTCCCCCGCGCTGGTTTCGGATTCGACCGCAGTGCCGCTCCCCTCCTCTTCCGCCTCATCTCCTCCCCTCAGGCTCTCCGCCGTCTCCTCGCTTCCCCCCTCCCTCTCCCCCTCGCTTCCTCATCATCCCCATGCTCCCTCCCTGCCTTCTCCCTCCCTTCCCGTCCTTCCCTCCCTCACCCCCTCCCTGCAACCACCGCGCTCGAGGCCTCTGGGGACAACCGCGAGGTGCGCAGAAGCCTCGGGTCGCGCCATGGCGCTCAGGAGAAGGGAGGGAAGGAGGAGGAAGGCGAGGAGGAGGAGGAGGAGGAGGAGGAGGAGAGAAAAAAAGAGGAGCAGGAGGAGTAGGAGGAGAAAGAAGAGCAACAGGAGGAGTAGGAGGAGGAAGAGTTTTATCCAGGCGCGGCCGACAGCGCGCGGCGGGACGGCGGCGCTGCCAGACCCAGGACACGCCCGACAGGAAGAACGCGAGCACCTCCGAACGGCCGCGCCGTGCCACCGTCGGGATCGGTGGACCGCGGCATGAAGGAGGCGGCCGACTGCGGCCCGTCCATGAGGTCCTGGAGGTCGATGGTGTGCTCGAAGATGTCCTCATCGAGGTCGACGAGGTCCACGAGGCCCTGCAGCAGCTCTCGCGTGGCAGCGCTGCGCGGCGCCCTCCTCCTGCGGAGCCCGCAGGTCGGGCGGGCAGCTCGCGGACACGGCGCGCGCGGCCTCGCGCAGGCTCAGGGCCCCGGCGCGCGCGCCGCCTGCGATCCGGTGCCGGCCTCCCAGCTGGCCGGCCTCGCAGCTGGCCGCGCAGGCCGCGCCCGAGGCGCCGGGGGAGGGCGCGCCCCGCGCGACGGCCGCGGCAACCACCGCGCGGCGGCCGTGCCCTCCTGGACGGTGGGGCCCCGCAGGGTCGGGGCGCGAGGCCACGGCGCGAACTGCGCGGCACCCTGCGCGCCCTCGCTGCGGTCGGCATCGGCAGCGCTCCCGAGCGAGAGCTTGGAGCCGGCGTCGTCGCGGGGAGGCGCCGCGGCCCCGAGGGCAGGCGTGCCGAAGAGGGGCCCAGGGGCAGCGCAAGCGGAGCCCGCGCCAGCAGCGCCGCCGGGAGGTCGCTCGGGCTCCTCCTCCTCCTCCTCTTCCTCCTCCTCCTCCTCCTCCTCCTTTCCTCCTCCTCCTGCTCCTCCTCCTCCTCCTTTTCCTCTTCTTCCTCCTCCACCTCCTCCTCCTCCTCCTCTTCCTCCTCTTCCTCCTCTTCCTCCTCCTCCTCCTCCTCCTCCTCCCTCCTCCTCCTCGTCCTCCTCCTCCTCCTCCTCCTCCTCCTCCTCCTCCTCCTCCATCAGGGCCGGCGAGGCGAGCGGCCCGCGGCGCATCGCCCCACCGCGCGTCCAGCAGTGGGCAGGGCCCATGGAGCAGGCTGCGTAGGTCACGGCAACGCACGAGCAGCGGCTGCCACGCACCTCGGCCACCTCCGCCATACTTGGGCGCAGGACGCGAGGGGGGGGGGGGCACAGGGAAGAAGATGTCGGCGTCAGCCCGCATGGCCGAGCGCTCCTCGAGGATCCTCTGCCCGCGGCTGCCGGGCCTCCGCAGCAGGCAGGGGCGGGGCCGCCTCCCACAGCCCCGGCGGACAATCCTCCGCGGCCGCGGGGGGCCCGGGCGGCGGGGGCGTCGACAGCACCCGGGCGGGGCCCCGCGGCAGCCCACCGGAGTTCGCCGTCCGTGGCCATCGCGAAGCCGCAGAGGGAGGGGGACGAGAGCTGCGTGCCACGCAGCGTTGCGGCGGCGCCGGGAGCGCCCTGCCAGCTGGCAGCGCTGGCCGTGCGGCCCGCTCGAGGTCGCGCCACGAGCCTGGTGGCGCGGCGCCCATTGTCCGCCCGCGCGCGCCGCAGGCCAGCCTCGCACGCCTGCTGCGCACGGCGGCGGGCAGCCCACCGAGCCGACGTCGCGCCGAGCTGCAGCGTCTCCAGCGCGCGAGCGGGCCTTCACCACGCAGGGTGGCCCCCCGGAGCCATCCAGCGATTCCGAGCCAAACGCCCCGTTCCCCCCCGTCCCTCGCGCCCGCCGCGTTGCCCCGCAGGATTGAGGTCGCAGGGTACGCCGAGGGGCAGGGTCCAGGAAGAGGGGGGCTTCTCGGAGAGGCCTGCGCCAAATTGGCTACGACTAGGAGGCGGAATAGGACGAAGAGGAGGAGGAGGGGGAGCAGGATGAGAAAGAGGACGAAGATAAAGAGGAGGGGAAAGAGGAGGAAGAGGAGGAGCAGGAGTAGGAGGAGGAGGGGGAGGAGGAGAAGGAATGAGGGGGAGGAGGAGGAGGAGGAGGAGGAGGAGGAGGAGGAGGAGGAGGAGGAGGAGGAGGAGGAGGAGGAGGCGACGGGAGGGTCATTGACCAAATTGCAAGGTGTGCGAGCGGGCCGCCATTGAGCAGTCCCTCGGGGCCGTTGGCCGCATTTGGGGCTGCCAATGGGGGACACCCTTTGCTTGGGGAGACCCCAAGTCGCAGCCTGTTTAAAGGGGATGCTAGCGGGGACCCGCCCTGGCTAGCAGCCCCATATCGAAAGCCAGCTCAAGCTTCTTACAGCCTTACCTACCTAGTGTGGCTTGCTACCAGAGTTTGTGTAGTGGTCTGTTTTGTTTTTTCCTACGCCTCCCTCGTACCATTTCCTCCCCAGCCACAATATCTTGATATACGACGGACTCCTCGCATGCATGGAGGCTGCCCTCAAAGTCCTGTGCAGGCCGCCTCGCCCGAGGCAGTTCTGGCCGCGGCAGTGGCCATGCAGCAGCACCAGGACCAGCTGGGCCAGCAGCCCACCAATGGGGCATCGGGCGGCGGGGCGCCTGCGGCAGGCGCCGCGAGCGGAAGCCAACCAGCTGGCGAACAGCAGCCAGCGACGACTGGCATCGCTGCGCCCGCGGTGGCGTCCCCCCCTCGCCCGCTGGCGTTGCACATGCCCCAGAACGGGCTCGTGCGAATTTACATGTTTGTTAACGGGCTTTCTTAGGATGCGTGTAGATAGGGCCGCGAACAGGCCCAAAACCAGGCGTCAATATTTCCAAAAAGTATTGACGCCCTTTTTTTGGCTTAGATTCCCCCCCCCCCCCCCCCTCGGGCCTCAGTGGGGCACAGGGGGTAGGGCAGCGATGAGTAGCAACGTTGCAAGAGAGTGTCGAGGGCTCCATGTGTCTGGACTGGGTGATGGTGTCCTATCCCAACATGTGCCAATTGATGGCGCTGCCGGCGTCGGGCTTCGTCCCAGCATTCACGGAGGGAACGTTCCTCCCCCACCCAAGCTTCCTACACCGTCCCGCCACCCTAAGACGAAACATTGACCTGATGCCCCACGGCCTAGGACGAATACGGAACACCGAAACGGAAAAACTTAAGCCTAGCCCACCCCTAACATGCACCCAGTGGACCGGCGACTGGGAGTTGGATTCTTGTGCGGTGCTATACCGCATGTAACCCACCTGGCTGGGGCGGCCCCCAGTGGCGCCCTGCACACCTAAGGTAAGGCGCGCCCCCCCCCCGCATATAGGCGACCTTGGTTGGGATGTTTTCTTCCGCGGAACGCTCACAGTCGGTGCCGGCGGAGGAAAGAAATGACAGGGGTGGCGGCCGTTAGGCTACCTTCTCTTGTGCCGCTGGATGAAAGCTGCCCTGCCCCCTCTCAAACGGGGGGCTGCACAGGTTATCGTTTTTCAAACAGAGTGCCCGCAGGATCTCGGCGGAGGGCGGCCTCTTGGGAGGTGGGCGGTAGGGTCGGGAAAGGATATGGGGAAGGGAGCGCTGCGTTGGTGGCGAACCCGCCTCAAAAGGCCGGGGCCTGATAGTGGAAGGGCGGCGAGCGAGCGCAGCTGAATGACATCGTGTGAAACGTGATGCACAAGAAGCAATGCACGCGAATCTAGAAAACCGCATTATACCTTCGCGGCTGCGCCGCCATATCCGCCACCGGCGCGCCGGCCCATTCAGAACCCACGCTAGCCAGTGCTCTCCGCATGGCTGCCTCCCGCAGTTTTTTAAAGACGGCGTACCTTGGATTGGAAGGCGGCTTCCTCCGATGCCTGAGTCGGTTCAGGCACGAGCGGTGCTTCATCATCCTCCTGTTCCAGAGCTTGCTTCACCAAGTGGGGAGCCGCCCGCTCCGACGAACAAGCAGGCTCTGAGACAGGAGGCGGGCAACGTCGCCAGCAGCAGGCAGCGGAGCGGGCGCAGGCGCTGGTCGCGCACTTGAGCTGGCGGCATCAAGGGCCGAGGCGAATAAAAATTCAGCAGCTTCCCTGTCGGCAAGAAAATGATCAAATTCAGCACCAATGACTACAGTATTGCGATTGTGTTCAGTGGCACTCGCAGGGTTCGGAGCAGCAGGCGGAAGGGCGGCGGCGGTGGAGGAAGAGGAGGAAGAGGGGGCTTGGCTCGCGGGGGGGTCAATTTATTCACTACGGAGCGCGAGCAGCATACTGAAGGGCATCAGATCGCCAAGAGTTACCCCGTTCCCGCGCCAGCAATTAGGGGGCTGCCCCTTCCCTATTCCAAGTTGTTCCCGCTCGACAAGAATTTCGGGCCGGGGGGCATCTGTCCTCTAAGTTGACCGCGCGCGCACCTTCCGAGTACTTGTCACAAGCTATACAGATGATTAACATGCCAGTGAGGTGTTCTGTCACGAAAAGGTTGCGTCCACGCTGGCCATGGAACAGGGGGCGCATGATGGGCGAGGCCCCCGCGCATCCTTCGAGCGGCGGCGGGGGGGCGGCCGGGGGGCGACATTGAAGCGGGGCACGGGCTCCGCCCGACTACTGGTGCTGCGCCTCTGGCAATGGAGGCAGGTCCAGTAACCTTGGCGCCGCCGCCGCCACTCGCGACGCTGCCCCGCGGCGTCTGCCTTCTGCCCCACCTGAGCTCGCATCGCTCGGGGCCGCGGTTTAGCCCGCGCCTGGGCTGGCGGAAGTGGAGGTGGCGCGGGGGGCGGGCGAGGCAGTGCATCCTTTGCGGATCGCGCCCCGGTTTGACACCCTACCTCGCGCTGCGACTTGTTATATTTGGACCGGCCTCCTTCGACGGGGCCAGGCGCGGGCGCAGGAGCAAGGCTCTGGCAACGTTGCCGAGGTACTTTTTTAAAACTGCCGTGCAATCTGCGTATGCCTTGCTTTCCGCCTTCGGCGCCTGCGAGAGCAGTGCGGCGCCGAGCTCTGCGTATTTATCTGCAAAGTCGCCCCCCGCCGCGAGGTGCCATTCCCGGG